ATGACATAAATCACAGCAAGATCCTTTTTGACCCACCTCCTAGAGAAATGGAAATAAAAACAAAAATAAACAAATGGGACCTAATGAAACTTAAAAGCTTTTGCACAGCAAAGGAAACCATAAACAAGACGAAAAGACAACCCTCAGAATGGAAGAAAATATTTGCAAATGAAGCAACTGACAAAGGATTAATCTCCAAAATTTACAAGCAGCTCATGCAGCTCAATATCAAAAAAACAAACACCCCAATCTAAAAATGGGCAGAAGACCTAAAGAGACATTTCTCCAAAGAAGATATGCGGATTGCCAACAAACACATGAAAGGATGCTCAACATCACTAATCACTAGAGAAATGCAAATGAAAACTACAATGAGGTATCACCTCACACCAGTGAGAGTGGCCATCATCAAAAAATCTACAAACAATAAATTCTGAAGAGAGTGTGGAGAAAGGGGAACCCTCTTGCACTGTTGGTGGGAATGTAAATTGATACAGCCACTATGGAGAACAGTATGGAGGTTCCTTAAAAAACTAAAAATAGAACTACCATATGACCCAGCAATCCCACTACTGGGCATATACCCTGAGAACTCCATAATTTAAAAAGAGGCATGCACCCCGATGTTCATTGCAGCACTATTTACAATAGCTAGGACATGGAAGCAGCCTAAGTGTCCATCAACAGATGAATGGATAAAGAAAATGTGGCACATATATACAGTGGAATATTACTCAGCCATAAAAAGAAATGAAATTGAGTTATTTGTAGTGAGGTGGATGGACCTAGAGTCTGTCATACAGAGTGAAATAAGTCAGAAAGAGAAAAACAAATACTGTATGCTAACACATATATATGGAATCTAAAAAAAAAAAAAAAAAGGTTCTGAAGAACCTGGGGTCAGGACAGGAATAAGACGCAGACATAGAGAATGGACTTGAGGACATGGAGAGGGGGAAGGGCAAGCTGGAACGAAGTGAGAGAGTGGCATGGACTTATATGTACTACCAAATGTAAAATAGATAGCTAGTGGGAAACAGCTGCATAGCACAGGGAGATCAGCTCGGTGCTTTGTGACCACCTAGAGGGGTGGGATAGGGAGGGTGGGAGGCAGTCACAAGAGGGAGGAGATATGGGGATATATGTATATGTATAGCTGATTCACTTCGTTATAAAACAGAAACTAACACACCATTGTAAAGCAATTATACTCCAGTAAAGATGTTAAAAAAAAAATTGTGTTGTCGGGACTTCCCTGGTGGTCCCGTGGTAGAGAGTCTGCCTTCCAATGCAGGGGATGTGGGTTTGATCCCTGGTCCAGGAACTAGGATCCCACATGCCACGGGGCAACTAAGCCTGCACGCCACCACTACTGAGCTCGCGCGCCTCAGCTAGAGCCCATGTGCCGTAAACTACAGAGCCCACGCACTCTGGAACCCGTGTGCCACAACTACAGAGCCCACTTGCCCTGGAGCCTGCGTGCCACAGCTAGAGAAGAAATAAAGCCCACACGCCACAACTAGAGAGAAGCCCACACGCCGCAGTGAAGAGCCTGCGTGCCACAATGAAAAATCCCACATGCCTCAACGAAGATCCTGTGTGCCACAACTAAGACCCAACACAGCCCAAAATAAATTAAATAAATCTTTTTTTTTAAATTGTGTTGTCTGTACATGAATAGTGTTTGTGGTATTAGCAGTTGCAAAAGAAGTACTGAACCTGAGTCCAGAATGTATTAGTACATGTCCCAGTAGTGCCTGTACACTAATGTCAAATGATCGTTTATTCTTTTAAAATATGTGTTTGAAATAATTTCAACTTAAACAATATAAGAATAAAACAAATGGATAAATTTTTTAAAGTTTAACTTGTTTAAATGGAAAACCAAATTTATAATGTTATTTTTCCCTATTTTCTTAAATTTTATTCTTGTCTATTTACTCTTTTCCAAAGAATGATAATTGACCAAAAATGAATTATTTAAAATATCTATGCATCCATTGCTAATATAAATAAATAAGTAAACAAACGGGAAGAATTATAGTGCTTCCTTAAGAATTCCAATTAATAGATGTAGATGGAAAGAGAAATTTAAGTCACCATTAGAACACCATAGTAAAAATTACAACAGGCAAGATCCACCAGTATGCTACAATTAGCAGGCAAAAGTTGAAGCAGAAGCAAAATATTTGCATAGTCTTCAAGTATTTCCCACAATATATTTAGTAATGTCTAAAGGAAAAATAATAAGCTTATAATAGAGAATCTTGGCAGACACAACCTTAGGCAAGTGGTCAAGGTTAATATCACCAGAAACACTCAGCAACATACCTCTTGACTTGATGCATTGAGAAGGGCATATCACCTCTGTTGTATCCTTCCCAATAATGTATAACCTCAATCTGATCATGAGAAAACATGAGACAAACCCAAACAAAGGGACATTCTGTAGATTAATCAGTACTCTTCAGAAGTGTCAGAATCATGAAAGACAAGCAAAGACTGAGGAATTGTCACAGGTTAGAGGAAACTAAGGATACACAACAACTAAATGCAATGTAGGATCTTGGATTAGATCCTGAACAGAGAAAGGATATTAGTGGAAAAACTGGTGAAACTCAAATAAGTTCTTAACTTTATATTGTACCAAGGTTAATTCCTTAGTTTTGATAAATGTTCTGTGGTTGTGTAAGACATCAACATAAAGGGAAGCTGGGGGATTTCCCTGGTGGTCCAGTGGTTAAGAGTCCAGCTTCCAATGTAAGGGACGCAGGTTCGATCCCTGGTGGGGGAACTAAGGTCCCACATGCTGCAGGGCAACTAAACCCACACACTGCAACTGTTGAGCAAGCCCACGCCCTGTAACTAGAGAGCCCACGTGCTGCAACTACAGAGCCCGTGTGCCACAACTAGAGAGGAGCCCGTGCACCACAACTAGAGAGGAGCCTGTGTACCGCAACGAAAGATCCCGTGTGCCACAGCTAAGACCCGATGCAGACAAAAATAATAAATAAATAAATAAATATTTTTAAAAGCATAAAGGAAAGCTGGGGAAGGGTATACAGGAACTCATATCTATTTTTGCAACTATTCTGTAAATCTAGAATTTTAAAAACTTGATTCTTTCCTGTTATTGGTTATAAGAGATTGCCCAGGTCTTAAGATTTTTCTCTTTAATTTCAACACACATATTTATAAAAATAGTTCTCAAAGAGTGTTCTTAGACCAGCATCATTAACAGCAGCTGGGGACTTGTTAAAAATGCAGATTCTCAGAAGCTCTGAGGATGGGACCCAGCGATCTGTGTTTTAACAAGCCCAGATGATTCTGACATGCACTATTGTTTGAGAGCTGTGACATGTACTATCAGTAAAAAACTTAAGACTAAAAGGAAACATTTTAATTAATATATTGGCAAGTTTGATTACAATAAAGTATAGCCAGTGTTTTTTTTTAATTGTGGTAAAATACATGTAACATAACATTTACCATCTTAACTATTCTTAAACATACAGTTTGTGTTATTAAATACATTCACATTGTTGTGTAATATAGTCACCTCCATTCATCCGCATAACTCTTAAAAAAATTTTTTTTTGTTTTATTTTTGGCTGCATTGGGTCTTTGTTGCTGCGCGCGGGCTTTTCTCTAGTTGCGGCGAGCCGGGGCTACTCTATTGCGGTGCGTGGGCTTCTCATTGCAGTGCCTCCTCTTGTTGCCAAGCACAGGCTCTAGGCACGTGGGCTTCAGTAGTGTGGCTCACGGGCTCTAGAGCACGTGCTCAGTAGTTGTGGTGCACTGGCTTAGTTGCTCCACGGCATGTGCGATCTTTCCGGACCAGGGCTCGAACCCATGTCCCCTACGTTGGCAGGCGGATTCTTAATCACTGCTCCACCAGGGAAGTCCTATCCACATAACTCTTAACTCCTTGTAAAACTGAAACTCTATACTCATTTAAACAGTAACTCCCTATTCCCCACTTCTCCCAGCCCCTGGCAGCCACCATTCTATTTTATGTTTTGACTATCTTAAGTGGAATCATACAGTGTTTGTCTTTTTGTGACTGGCTTATTTCACATAGCATACTGTCCTTAGGTTTCATCCATATTGCAGTATATGTTAGAACTTCTTTCCTTTTTAAGGCTGATTACCATTCTACTGTATGTATATACCACATTCAGATGAATGCTTATCCATTCATCCGTCAGTGGACAGTTGGGTTGCTTCCACATTTTAGCTATTGTGGATAATGCTGCTATGAACATGGATGTACAAGTATCTCATCAAGACTCTGTTTTCAGTTCTTTTGGGTATATACCCAGAATTGGAATTGCTGGATCATATGGTAATTCTATTTTTAATTTTTTTTGAGGAACCGCCACTATACTGTTTTCCACAATGGCTGTACCATTTTACTTTCCCACTAACAGTGTACAAGGGTTCATATTTCTCCACATTTTCACCAACACTTGTTTTCTGGTTTTGTTTTTTTAATAGTAACCATCCTAATGGGTGTAAGGTGGTATCTTATGGTAGTTTTGATTTGCATTCCTCTCATGATTAGTCATGTTGAGCATCTTTTCATGTGCTTTTTAGCCATTTGCATATCTTCTTGGATAATCTCTGTTCAAGTCCTTTGCCCATTTTTGAATAACTGACACCCCTACCTTTCGTATATAAAGTCACTGCTGCTCACATACTTGTTCATGGGCACATCAGTGGCACTTTTGGGCTCTCACTTTCTTTACTTCCCCCTGTCTACCTTGTCCCGCAGCTCCCATAAATCTGGTATTTACACATAGGATCTATTTGTGTGTTGATTTTGAGAAATAAGGTAGAATTTGAAAACTACACGACAGTATTTCAGTATTTAAACCTACTTCCAAAAAATTCTCTTTACAGACCTACAACAGCTGTGCCAGACTCTGCTTAAATCAAGAGACAGTATGTCTATCAAGCACTGCTATGAAGACTGAAAATTGTGTGGCCAAAGTAAGTAATATTACACATCAATATATATTATACCACATCATAATAATGGTTTATCTATAGACATCTTTATTCAGTATTGCTATTAAAGACTATTATAGGATTTTAAAATATTTATTTATTTTATTTTTATTTATTTGGCTGTGCTGGGTCTTAGTTGCGGCATGTGGGATCTTTGTTTTGTTTTTTTTTGTTTGTTTGTTTTTTTGCCGTACGCGGGCCTCTCACTGTTGTGGCCTCTCCCGTTGGCGGAGCACAGGCTCCGGACGCGCAGGCTTAGCAGCCATGGCTCACTGGCCTAGCCGCTCCACAGCATGTGGGATCTTCCCGGACCGGGACATGAACCCATGTCCGCTACATCAGCAGGCAGACTCTCAACCACTGTGCCACCAGGGAAGCCCCATACAAGCTTTTTATCTTTAGTTGGGCATGCAGGATCTAGTCCCCTAACCAGGGATTGAACCCAGGGCCCCTGCATTGGGAGCACAGAATCTTAACGGCTGGACCACCAGGGAAGTTCCTATTATAGGATTTTTAAAAAGAATGTAGGAGGCATCATTTTATCCAAAGCAGATTGCAAGTTGGAGTTTCTTTCTCTTCAGTTGCAGCAGAATTTTTTGATTATGTGTTCTGGTCACACTTTAGTCTAATTCACATTTGTTGCTTGACACTAGTTATGGATTATTATAGATAAGATTTGTGTGGGACTTCCCTGGCTGTCCAGTGGTTAAGACTCCTTGCTTCCACTGCAGGGGACACGGGTTCGATCCCCGGTCGGGGAACTAAAGATCCTGTGTGGCACGGCCAAAAAAAAAGATTTGTATAAAAAAATATATAGTTATTCTCATAAGTTTGGTGGTGGTTTTAAACTGTAATAAGTATAGAGTACACCATTGTAGGATTGTGAAATATGCTATAGAAAATTCAATTATTATATCACTATTATTATTTAGTGAGCGGCTATTGTTAAAAATACCGCTTTTGGTGGTCTTGATCTAACTGGACAAGTATGTTTAATCACGCATATGGAGCTTCTTGTTTCTTATGTATAAATGTGTGTCATATCTATAGCCTAAATACAAAAATAATCTTATGTATTAGAGATCTTACAATCTAATAATTGTATCAGCTATGCCTCAAGTTTTCCATCTCTAATTACTCAGGAACTTTGACCGAAATTTAGATTTCAGCCATTTAAATTATTCCAGGAGTAACTAAAAGTACAGTACGGGCTCTGTTTCTAGACTTCTACTCTGCATATCTGCAAAATTACTGCCTTTTATAACTATTCAGGGATTTGTCACTTTTACAACATTCCCAACTTTAACTAGTTTAATCTGTTGTCTAATCTAGTGTTTAATCTATACACTCAGGGTCTCTGTTACTGTTATTATTAGAGCCAGGCCTGGTATCATGTGTCTCCATTCTTTGCTACAAAAATCAAGGAACAGCAAATTTTTTTTTTTTTTTTGCGGTATGCGGGCCTCTCACTGTTGTGGCCTCTCCCGTTGCGGAGCACAGGCTCCGGACGCGCAGGCTCAGCGGCCATGGCTCATGGGCCCAGCCGCTCCGCGGCATGTGGGATCTTCCCAGAACGGGGCACGAAGCCGCATCCCCTGCATCGGCAGGTGGACTCCCAACCACTGTGCCACCAGGGAAGCCCCAGCAGCAATATTTTTTATTTTGTTTTATTTCTTAAAACATGAAGTAGTTTCAGTTGATAAAGGACATACTTTATCAACTGAAAATATATCATATACAAAATAGAACCATTGGAAATGATCCATATAAGAAATGTCAGAATTTATTAAAAGTTATAGTGAAAAAAGGTAGAGTTAATCAGTTCAGTTCTTAAATTAGAATGTCTTAATTATTTACTGCAAAATATGAATATTATAAATTAACGTGTATTTATTTTTCAGTCATATAGTCACAAGTAGCCAAGTGCTGATTGACCCTATTTTTTATCTAGCATTTGTACATTGAGGAGACCAATAATTTGGGCCTTTGAAAATAATCTTTTTCCTTTTTGGCCATGCTGTTCTCAGTTTCATCACAAGTGGGTGACTTCTGGCTAAACAAGGTAAAATCTTAGCATGAGCACCGATCCAAGGACAGGGTGTCGATTTTAATGAGTTACATTGAGAGCTGGCCAAGTGAGCATCTGTTCCTTTTGTTTTCTCAATACTTTGTAAGCCAGGATCTCTAAGCTGCATAGCTATGTTGGTGTATGTCTGTATGATGGTTTTTTTTTTTCCTCTCCTACCTTCTACTTTAGCGGTGCATGGTTGGAAATCTTGTGGCATCTGGCACAATGGTATAATTTCTTCTATGCTCTTGAGTGAGGAAATAAATTTGCTCATTGCTGCTGTTTCCATTGCTCTCAAATGGTGACCCTCTCATCCCATTCTTGCTTATTTTAGCATTATTCTGCCACCTATATCCTTTCATCATCTCCTTAAGCACCCTAATTTAATAATGATTTCTATCATTTCCTAGTTTAGGAACCCACCTAACTTTCTGATTCCTTTTATTGGCCCATCTTCATCTTCTGGTTCATTGCTTCAGATTTGAGCCAAATAATCAGTTGGTCAATGGCAAATAAAAACATGTAGCTGAAAATTCTCTTTCTTGCAACAGTCTCCAGTGAAGTGCCAATAACACAGGAATAGGAAGAATTTTCCCTTTTTAATTTACATATGTTATGTGTATCTCATGATTCTGTGCTACTTCTACTGGCCTCATTTATTGCTTGCCCTTTGAAAAGTAATGACTTGGCATTATTTTTGTAGGTCTGTAAGCTTGTCCCTATTTCATGCTCTTCACCTTTAGCCCTTAACTGGATAGTTTCACCTGCTATACTTGATATGGCTGCATTGGTTTTTAACTTGGTACAAGTATGTGTTGTTGATTCAGATTGTGCTCCAAAGTGGCCTTGAATGTCCAACTCCATGGAGAGCCGCTATAATATGGTGATATCAACCATTTTGGTCCTCTAGTTCAAAACAACTAATTTTGATAGGTGTGACTTTGGTTTGGGTGGAGATGGTAATTAAAGTCTAAGACCTTATTATTGAAAACTGTTTATATAAGACATTAATACCAGTTAGTCCCTTTAAAAACAGCAATCCTGTTATGTTTGGACCCCTATAATATATTGTATGTGACTTCTTTGCCAGAGATATCTTAAAATAAATGTTTTATAATAGGTGTATGAAAAGAGACCCTTAGTCCTCTTTAGAATACAAGAAGACAAAATTGTAAGGCAAACTACAGCCACCCTCGGTTAATAATCTTCTGAATCTTTGACTTGAAGAATGAGTCTTAAGAAAATATTTTAAAATAAAAATGGAGGAAGGGTCATTTTATAGTATAACTTAATCCAAGTAATATTTGGAGGCATTGAGATGTTTTTTATTTCTTCCAAAGCCTTTCTTCTTACTAATTATAGCCCTGTAGTTCATGAGGTTTGTGTTTGGAACATGATAAGCTCTGTTTATTGTAGCTTTAAATGAACAGTCATTATTGACCTCCAACTTAATCTTTAAAATCAATAATCATGTTGTACCTAATTGTCAACCTTCATGATGTTTTTTAATTGGTAAAGAAAGCTTACTGGAAAAATAAAGAGCATTAATTTTTGTTATATTTTTATTGACTTTAAGTATTATTGAAATTTTTTGTTTTCAGGCTTTTCCCTAATTTACCCTTACACACACACATACACATACAGTTAAAACTGAGTTGTTTTTGAACACATCTGCCTGGATTCCTGCCTAGGTCGGAGAAGTTCTGCCTCTTTATATTTAGAAAATAAACCCCTCCCATAGTCCTTTGTAGATGTGTTCTATATTGTAGTTGTTGTTGTTTGTTATTGTTTTTTACTTTAGACTAATAATCTTTTTGCAACTGAGACAGAAAAATGTGATGTTCCTTTCCACTCACTCCAGATTTTGATAGAAGACTTGTTTTATTTATTTCCAAAATTATATCCGCAGGAAACAAGCTGTTTAAATTCAGATTATGCTGAAGCAAAATGGTCCTGGTATGAGAAGCAACGTGCTGTTTTACGAGCACAGAGTCCCCTTTCTCATAACTGATTGATAGTAAATATTTTCCTGAAGAATTATTGCCAACCATGAACAGTGCAACTGTTTCACTTTTTTCCTGTGCTACTTGCTGTACCAGCCATTGTCGGTAATTAAGATCTACAATTCACAATGCAGACGTTTGCACTTCCTCTGGGTCTGTGCTATTTATAAGGCATTTCAGCTGTTCAGAGTTTCTTTTGAGTTTTAAACTACGTGTTAACAGACTTCTTTAATATACTGTTCCACAAGTAGCATGTCAGATGGTCCATTCTGCACACAAGCTTCTCTGTTGGGTCTAAAGAATAGCTTTGTGGAGAATATATTAAGATTTAACCATATCATTGAGGCTGATGTGGTTGGAAAAACTGAAGTATAATGTTTTATACATTAGGCTTATTGCTGTATTAAAGAGGCAGGAATTAAGTTCAGAAGTAATGTTTTTTCTTCCATCTTTAAATATTTATATGAATTAGTGAATGTTAATGGGGGTTACAGAGAGGTCCTGAGAAATACTAGTACAGTGACTTTTCCAAGCTCACTTTGAAGTAATAATAGAATCAAGAATCCTCATTATAGACAACAGTTTGTGTGTTTGTCAGATTAAGGATATGAGAATACATAACCTTCTAGATGTGCATGATATTTAAGAATACAAACATGGGGCACCAAAATGGATCAGCAGATTGACTGCACATTTGTTGTGTAATCAGCTTCAGGAACCCTAAGTAGCATATGCCACTGGAGGGGAAAGTGTAAATAGGAATCCTGGTCTGTATTAAAATTGGTAAAATTCAAAGTCATTTTCAACCATTTCAGCAAAGTTAATTAAAAAAAAAGTTAGGACCTCAGTGAGAATCTTCATGAATTATAGTCTAGATTCACAGTAAATACTTGCACAGTCTCCATGCTACC